TCTTGCAACTTCACCGGTACAATTACATTTCCAATATTAACTATCTTTTGAGAGTAGAACGCCAATTTAAGAACTTCATTGCATCTCGAAAATAGTATACCGACCCCAGAGTTCACAAAAAACTAATGGTTCTACTCGCGCAATGGTCCACTGATTTCAAGGGTAAACCGGGAATGTACGCTATCGCTAACTTGCACGATAGTCTGAGCTCTAGGCGTAGAAATAGTTTCAGTTCTCCCACGAAAGACTCCGAAGCGAAGCCGAACACCCAACCATCGTCATCCACTTCATCTACTCCTACTTACTCAGGCACTAAGGAAAAACGTAAAAACAATAAAAAACCTCAAAAAAAAGTATCACCTGACGTGCAACCTCAAACTTATTCCTCAGAAAAGGTGAAATCGTAGGCCTTAACATTATGTGTTTGTTGAGAAGTCATCACTTATTGGAATGCAATTTTTAGATAAATGAAGAAATTGGACTAGCGACACAGAATGCCACCAATCTTATCAACGCACTCACATTATTAGGCCCAAATTCAGATGTTGAAAATGATCTCGAGCTTCAGGTATACCTTACGAGATGTTAACACTGTTCGATGTATGTTTTTTACTCACTCAGTAATACTTTCTCTACATGCAGGAATTGGTTCAAAAATGCAAATCTTCATCAGAACAATTAGTCAAAATCATATCGATGGTTACGGAAGGAAATGAACTTGGTATCTATGTTTGCATTATGTCAAGTTTTAAATCTTAGTATTTAGATAAATTTCAATGTTGAATTTTGAAGGACCCCTATTGCAGTCTAACGATCAAGTGCAAGGTGCGTTGGCAGCGTTCTCCGATTGTGAATCCGGAGCAACTAGGGAGGCAGAAATTTCATCCTCCACACGTGGAATTGAAAATGATGGAAGAAATAATAAACTTGCAGCTTCGAGAGTAATCTACGATCATTAAACTATGAAATTTATTATAATTAATGTTTCGATCAACCCTAACGATATATATTATCTTTTTATTTACTTATCATTTTCAGATTCATAAGGATTTTGATGATCTCATCAGTCTAGACTCGTACTCTGCCGCCAAGTGAGCATTATGAGTTTTTATAATTTTTTCTCTTTTTCGGTTGGGAAATCTAATAGTTTGATTTCCATGAAGTTCTTTGCCAACCAACGGCTTTATTCCTGATAGCAGCCTGTTGGATGACCCCTTTGCAGATCCCATTACACCTTCTAGGACGCCCGAGCCAGAACCTGGTAGAAAACGATTAGGATGGTAATATTACAAGACCTTTTTTTTTTTTTTTTTTTTCCAAAAATATAAAAAAAAAAAAAATTTTTTAAAAAAAAAAAGGGGGGGGGGGGAAAGTTTTTTTTTTTTTGAAAAAAAGGGAATTTTTTTATTAAAAAATGGGGGAAA